CCAAATAATAGGGATCAGGGCTGTTGCAATAGGGAGCCTCACCTTGCTGTAAAAGAAAAACTAAAATAATTATTTTATATTGGGTAATCAGGTTTTAATACTAAGATATTATCTTCCCTTTTCACTCCTGCTTTCTTGTGCAATGCACAAAGTATGAAAAGCTCATCAATATGGTTTCTTATGCCACAGTAAAACTAGCCTTTTCAAAACACAAAACTATCACTTGTTGAGTTTTATTATGGCTATTCTTTGATGTGATTATCAGAAAAGACTATTAAAAGTATTACTCCCTTTCCAACCATACATCTGTTTAAGGCCTGATTTTCTTTATATGCTTCATCCAAGACAGTAAGCTACAACACATCGAGTGCAGAAGCAAATATAAGAATCCAGCTATTTCCTATTAAGCCAGACAATAAAGAGATTTTCAAAAATGTACAACCCACTTTTCTCAATTCCTTTTTTTTATTTTTGGGAAAAAGTACTTTTCATTAAAATTATATTATTTACAATAATACTGTGTGTTCTGCACATCAGCTAAGCATATATACTCAGTTTGGATCACCATGATCTGGCTTACTATTGCATATTTCACAAAAATAGCATTAGTCGTTTACCTTGTATACTAGTGATAGTGCTCAACCATGTCCTTTCATACAGCAATTCTACCAGTAGTTTATTCTGCTGTTTTTTCAAATGTAAAACTTACTAACTTGGCTGGTTTCACAAGCTTCTTGCTAAAGATACGACGTAACCATTTGTGCTCTACAGCTATGAATGATGCCTTAGTAAGTAGTTCTGGTTTCTTCTTCATCTTTAGTGACAGAATTCATTACGTTTATCCTAGAAAGCACTGCTACAATTCTGGAAAATTCTGGCTTGGCAAAGACCATCACTTCTTGTTTCATGGCCTTTATGTAACTATGTATTTGACAAAATTCAGAGTAGACCACCACCTTTGGAGACTAGGGATGAAGGTACTGCAGGTCTGATAAAATGTAATTCCAATCATTATTGTGTTTCATATTTGCACTTTGGTCTGTGAATTCAAATCATACCACATTAACACATAAACTCGAACTTCATGAACACTAAAGTTCTATTCATTATTATTCATGATGGTATTCTGAGTTGTAGCATTCTACTGGTTTATTTCTACTTTAGTTCTTCCATCACTTTTGAGCCAAAGAAAATTTAAAATTTAACCAATGATTACACAAACAAAAAACAAACAACCCTTGGTTTACAAACTGAACATTAGCCAAGATGAACTGACCAAGATAGACCTTGTAGCACATGAACAACTTTTAAGAATGCAAAGAGATTTTTAGTAAAATTATATTAACTTTTAAATATGTTTTGGGGATAAAATTACTCTCATTTTCCCCCTGAAACTGCCAAGTAACCTGTGTACTATTTGATAGATCTCAGAAAACCACATCATGACCAGTGGTTCTTAAATTTTTTTGGTCTCCAGGCCTCTTTATCGTCTTATAAATTATTAGGGCCCCAACGACTCTTTGTTTATGTCGCTATCTATCAATATTTATATTAGAAATTAAAACAAAAAATTAAAAATAGTTGCTTATTTAAAATAACGATAAACCTAGATTCAAGGGTGGGCAAAAGTAGCTTTACAGTTGTTTCTATGGAAAATAATACAATAATAAATAATGATACAAGAATAAACTCTGTTTCACATACTCACAACTATAAACCTACTTTTGCCAACCCCTGTACTATACTGCTTAAAATTACAAACAGTCCCTCATGTGTCTAGAGAGGAAAACACCAAAAAAGCTTACTTATTGTTGAGTACAAAGACACAGGCAATTTAATAATTACAGGCAATTTAATGTATTGACTGCTTTGGAAACAGAGGAACAGCAGCTAAATTAGACCAACACTTTAAGGGAATATATCCTTGAGTTTGGAAAAATGAAGAAGAGTTGAAATTTGATGGATGGGTAGTAATTTGCTGGCTATCAAGTTGAGAGAACAGGAAGATGAGTCAGATGCCTTCCTTTTCAACTGTTTAATCTCTCTTTTGAGAAAAATATGCAAAAAATTATGAGAAGGAACATGTTTCTTCCTCTTGCACCAGATTTAAAATCTCTGGTGGCACAAATGGTTAATCTTCATATCATCCATAATGGATCTTCAAATATTGCCTTGAATTACTCACTCTGTATCAGACTGAACTGTGACCCATCAGAGTGGCAGAACAAGAATGCAGTTCATTCAGGCTGACCTTTTAAAAAGTTTACATACTTTTAAAAAAGCAAACTTGGTTTTAAGGCAGTAGAATCCTTTCTTCAAATGAACTCCCATGGAGAAGAACAATAAATAAGATGGATCAAAGTGGAGTCATACTAATTCAAGGTCATCAAACTTTTTCTGTAACAGGCCAGATAGTAAATATTTTAGGCTTTGCAGGCCATATGGTCTGTGTCTCAGCTTTGCTGCTATAGTGCAAAAGCAGCCACAGATGACACATAAATCAGTGAGTGTGGTTATGTTCCAATAAAACTTTATTTATGAAAATATTTAACTTATTATAATTTTCATGTGTCACAAAATACCGTTTTTTTTAATATTTGCCCCAGCCATTTAAAAACGTAAAAATCATTCGTTGTTCACCAATCATATAAAAATAGGCACACAAGGGGGGACAAATCTGACCGAACAGTTTCAGTTTTCGGACTCCTGTTCTAATTAAAGATTCACTCAGACTCATGAGGCACACTCTTGATTGACAATTATTCTCTTCGAAGAGGCTTGTGGGGGTGGAGAGGGGACCAAAGTTCTTTTTATTCAAACTGTAATGCTGTGTCAGCACTGGCCCCAGTGTCCCTTCCTTTTCCAGTTTGTGTCATAGCTCACAAAATAGCAAAATGTTCCCTAGCCAGTCGTTCAGTGGTTAGAGCATTGGCCTGCGGACCCAAGGGTCACTGGTTCAATTCCGGTCAAGGGCATGTACCTCCGTTGCAGGCTCCATGCCTGGGGTGAGAGGAGGCAACCAATCTATGTGTCTCTCACATTGATGTTTCCCTCCCTCCCTCCCTCCCTCCCTCCCT